ACTTCTTTTGTAAACAGATTATTGTGACTTCTTCTGTAAACAAATTATTGTAACTTCTTCTGTAAACAGATTATTGTGACTTCTTTTGTAAACAGATTATTGTGACTTCTTCTGTAAACAGATTATTGTGACTTCTTCTGTAAACAGATTATTGTGACTTCTGTAAACAGATTATTGTGACTTCTGTAAACAGATTATTGTGACTTCTTCTGTAAACAGATTATTGTGACTTCTTCTGTAAACAGATTATTGTGACTTCTTCTGTAAACAGATTATTGTGACTTCTTCTGTAAACAGATTATTGTGACTTCAATAAACAGATTATAGTGACTTCTGTAAACAGATTATTGTGACTTCTTCTGTAAACAGATTATTGTGACTTCTCCTGTAAACAGATTATTGTGACTTCTCCTGTAAACAGATTATAGTGACTTCTGTAAACAGATTATTGTGACTTCTTCTGTAAACAAATTATTGTGACTTCTTCTGTAAACAGATTATTGTGACTTCTTCTGTAAACAGATTATTGTGACTTCTTCTGTAAATAGATTATTGTGACTTCTTCTGTAAACAGATTATTTGTGACTTTTTCTGTAAACAGATTATTTGTGACTTCTTCTGTAAACAGATTATTGTGACTTCTTCTGTAAATCACATCAATAAAAAAATTGGGGTGGGAATCGAACGTGGGCCAGGAATATGCAAGAATCTCTCAACTCATGGACGATATAAATGGGATTTTTATCCAGTTTTTATTTTAGCTCTCACCTTGAATATAATTATTTTTTTTTAAAGACTTCAATTACCATACTTCTCATAACCACTTGGGCTGGACGGTAGAGCGACGGATTGTCTTCATGCAGGTCGGCGTTCAATCCCCGACAGTCCACACAAGTGCTTGGGCACCATTCCTTCCTTCCGTCCCATCCCAAATCTTTATCCTAATCCCTTCCAAGTGCTATATAGTCGTAATGGCTTGACGCTTTCCACTGATAGTTCCCTTTATAGCCGTCAGTATTTTTAATTTTTCACGATCGATCAAAATATATTTAAAAAATAATAATGTTAATTTCTTTGATAATTAACATAGAAATTTGACTTTCAGAACCACTAAAAAAAGACAGGTGTTAAATTTACGTAAAGAAATTGGAAACAATGTTGTTTAAGATTTAGCTACTCAGAACGAAGTGTCCATGTAGCACGGGCTATGGTGAGCCCGTAATTGGAAACAAACAGTCGTCTCGCTTAATAGGTCGCAATTTCTCACCGAATCACCTGATCCGCTCAAATATACGACGCTTTACGGCTAGTCAAAGCGTCGTAAAACAGACGTTTACTATGCTAAGAATCTGTTGGGTTTAATCTTAGGATAAAAGAAGATGGTCTAATGTAAATAAAGAAATGGACGTGTTTACATATTCTCTACAAACCCCCCCCCCCCTATGCAAATAAAGAAGGGGACGTGTTTACATCTTCTTTACCCCCCTTCTTATGTAAATAAAGAAGAGAGGCCCTTAGACGTGCCTGTTAATTCTTTGACAAGAAAGGTAATGTTTTGATGGCGATTAATGGTGCTTGGACCATGTTTTATGGTGTTTGGACGAGAACAATGGATGTTCAAACACGCACAATGATGCTTGCAAAATTATTATTTGCTTGGGAAAATCTTCCCCCATGCATGGATTTGCTTGACGTATCTTAAGTGACAGCTAAGTTCCCGTCCAATGACTCAACTTGATAATGATCCACAACAGATCGAAGATTATTGACCAATCTACACACTGGAAAATGAAGGGACGACGACGTTTCGGTCCGTCCTGGACCATTCTCAAGTCGATTGTGAGAATGGTCCAGGACGGACCGAAACGTCGTCGTCCCTTCATTTTTCTAGTGTGTGGATTGGTCAACATACTTCAGCCACGTTATTGTGACTCCTCGTCTGCATCGAAGATTGATTGATGGAAGATTAAGTCACCCAAGAGCTGGCACGGGCATGAATAGCCCGTAAAACAGTTCAAATCGTTGTCACTTCCTTTATTTTCAGGTGTGTGTGGGGGGGGGGGAAGAGAGTGGTTACCTTGAGGTGCTTGCTTCCGGGGCTTAGTGTCCCCGCGGCCCGGTCGTCGACCAGGCCTAACGGAGTGAGGAGAAGATTGGAAATACATAAATTGCTCCTATTAGAAATTGTTTAATGGTGTTATAAAATTCTTGAGGGCTTAGAAAATGCTTTAGAATGCTAGAAAACTATTAAAAATTATTGCTGCTCCTAGTACATACTTAAATTCTCCTTGAAAAAAAAAAAAATATTGATATGACTTTGAGACCATTTAAAATTAATTAATAATTTAAGGCTGAACATTAACCCCTTATGTCCTTGATAAATGCTTAACTGAGCATTCCTCAAATGACTTTCTAACCTCACGATATCTTGTATAGCTATTTTGCCTCTCGTAATGACTCTCTCGTTAGTAACGAGCGATGATATAGCGAGTTGGACGACAGTTTATAGTCAAAATGAAATACAACTCAATTATAGATAATTGTAGTCTAGTCCTTTAGGAGGACGAGGAGGAGATGAATGAGGAAGGAAGAAAAGAGGGAGGTGGTAATATAGAATAATAATAGTGGAAAGAAAGACAATGACAAATAGAGAAACGCAAATAAAATGACAGAAGGGGGAGAATAGATAAAAAGGAATAAAAAAAAATCTGGAAGAGAAAGCGGGCTAGAAGGGCAATGCTAAGTAAAGGAAAGAAAGGATTGGATAACGAAAGAGGAATAGAGAGAAAGAGAAGTATGGAGGGAGGGAAGGACAGATGCAAGAGAGCGAAAGATAAAAATGAAGCAAGGGAAGATCGACGAAAGGACTTTCCCCTTCCTCTCGAAAGCAGTTCTCGATAGAAAGAACAATACTTGAGATCATTCTCAAAGTAACGATCAGAACTTGAGAATCCCCAAACCGAGAAACAGCTAATCACCTCTGAACCAAACCACCACTCAGGTACCCAGTAACTACCAGACACGACAGTCACTAAATAGTACAAAAAAAACATTAATACAGTAATACACAAAACTAAAACATACACAAATGGTCAATCGACATGCAAATGAGCTAATAATCCATCTAAGACAATCGTGTGAAATCTTAAACCAAAAAAAATAAAACAAACCCCACAAAAAACAGTATCTTAATAACCTCCTTCCAAGCAAGCAGTAAACAGTTTACCTCTAACATATTCCAGCCAAGTTTACAGTTTTTTCATGTTGAAGAACCTGTGGATAATCAAGTTTGGGAGCAAATGTGTTTGTGAAGAAATCAAAGGAAATTACTCTACACAATTCCGTCTGCTAACCTTTAAACGAGTAAGACATGCAAATATTCCTTATTTGAACAAAAAAATGGCATATCGTGTTATACATTTGTATCCTATTAACTAGTAAGAGAGTCTACCAACAAGCAAGAGAGAGAGAGAGAGAGAGATAGAAGACAAGAGAGAGAGAGAGAGAGAGAGAGAGAGAGAGAGAGAGAGAGAGAGAGAGAGAGAGAGAGAGAGAGAGAGAGACAGACAGAGAGAGAGACAGACAGAGAGAGAGAGAGAGAGAGAGAGAGAGAGAGAGAGAGAGAGAGAGAGAGAGAGAGAGAGAGAGAGAGAGAGACAGAGACAGAGAGAGAGAGAAAGAGTTTAAACCATAATCTTTTGTTAAGTGTTAGAACTGTAATGAAGCAAGTGAAGCAAAGCATAAAGAAACAGGTGAAGCAAGGCGAAATGAAGCAGGTGAACCAAAGCGTAACGAAACAGATGAAGCAACATGTAGTATAGAATGTGGAGAGTGAACGGAGCGAAAGTGAAGTGTAGAAGAAAAATAGGGCAAAAGAGAGAACGAGAGCCACAGAGAGAGAGAGAGAGAGAGAGAGAGAGAGAGAGAGAGAGAGAGAGAGAGAGAGAGAGAGAGAGAGAGAGAGAGAGAGAGAGAGAGAGAGAAGATGAGAGGAGACAGCCTCCTGCCCTCTGTACATGTGAAGAGCTTCACGAAAGTCATGTTTACCCTGATCTTAGCAGATGATGAAGATCCAATTAAAAACAAAAAATATATTAAAATAAATCCTATCCCGTCCGACAACTTTCTGGCCTCCGACAACTTTCTGGCCTCCGACAACGTTATTTGATGTCCGACAGGTTTCTATTTCATACATCCGACAACTTGTTTTCATCTCCAAGTACTTTCTACCACCGACTTCTTTCTGTCACCTCCGAAAACATTCTGTCTCCTCCGACAACATTCTGTTCAACAGCTTCATATCGCATCCGACACCTTTGTCTTGCGTCCGACACCTTTCTATCGGATCCGGAACCTTTCTCTAGCATCCGACACCTTTCTCTCTCATCCCAGACACCTTTCTCTCACGCTCCAGGGGTTAGTTTTCCCATACCGTCTTTTCCTGGAGTTCAGTGCATGAGTAACGATAGGAAACTCTGCATTTCTTACCTCCTCTCTCTCTCTCTCTCTCTCTCCCCCCCCCCGACCTTCTTCCTCCGACAGGGTGACCGTCAGGGCCATAGGGGGGAGGGGGGCGGGGGGTGACCTAGAGCCCTTTCACCCGGGCTGTCCCGGGCTCCGCCCCACCTCTTTCTGCCAGCCCACACATTCTTGCAACCCTGCACCATATACCCCCCTCCTTTGCATCTGAGCAAGTGATTGATAACTGAGACACATGTATATATATACACACACACACACACACACCTGTTTTTTGTGGTTCTTGATACCTGTTGCTGAAGACTTTCACTGAGAATACACAGGTAATCAGCCTTGAGGGTTATGCTTAGGTATCCCAAGATGAGGGGGGGTGTTTGGGGGATGTTTGGAAGGGGTAGGGAGGGGTTTGTGGGGGGGGGAGGTGACACGGTGGGCAGGTCGGTGGCACGTCTGAAGTTCTGGCACGGGGGTCGAGGGGGGGGGGTGTGTCATGACTCGGTCACAGGTATAAAAGGCAGAAGGGCAGCAGTGCAGGATTCAGTCCTTTTTGCCACCTCTCGTCCACCACAGTCATGAGGATCCAGGTATGGTGGACCAGCGGTGTGTTGTGTTACAGTGTGTGGCGAGTGTTGGGGGGGGGGAGGTGGGGTGTGTGTGTTGAAGCAATCAGAGTGTGTTGCACTGATTGCTGACCAGTGCTGGGAGGCAAGAATTTTTCCCATGATTTTCAGCTTCCGTCGTGTTATCTTTTTCGTTTGTTAACTTCTCTCAACTGGAAAAAACTAATATATATATATATATATATATATATATATATATATAAACTGAAAACTCACACCCCCAGAAGTGACTCGAACCCATACTGCCAGGACCACTCAGCAACTGGTGTACAGGCCACCTTAACCACTCGACCATCTTCTGGCAGTATGGGTTCGAGTCACTTCTGGTGTGTGAGTTTTCAGTTGCATATAAGCCTGGGGACCATTCAGGCTTGTTCGAATATTATATATATATATATTATATATATATATATATATATATATATATATATATATATATATATATATATATATATATATATATATATATATATATATATATATATACACGTGTATTTGGCGCAGTTGACCCTTTCTTAAGATACTCTCTAATCAAGACACTGTGATGTGAGGTTCAAGACTACTCGCGATGCTGTCATCTTTATTAGTTGGGGCTTCGTATCCCGTTTTTCACTCTCAACTATATCAACTCAACCCGTCCTCCTAACAGAACGTCGCAATTTGGACGCATTGTCTAAGCCCCCTCCCCCTTTCCAAAAAAAAAAATCGTACTAGAAAATGGAAGCTTCCTCTCGAAATGGGCATACAATTCCGTTTTCTGTTTTGGGTCCTCTGGTAGGTTAGGATAAGGGGATACTTTAGTACATGCGTTTCTTGACGTTGAGGTGTGGGGGGGAACTGCCCAACAGTCTCCTAACTATACACATCACTCCATATCCTCCAGACACCGTTTATACTCTCATATAAATTACCATCCAAACATCCGTGGAAATAAACATTCTATTCACCTGGGTTTCGAACCCTGGACCCCCACGCGTGTCCAGGGTTCCAGAGAGTGTAAACGCTTTAGACTCTCCGTCTCCGAGCAGACGGGGCCGGCTAGACTTCCGGTCAGAGCGAGAGGTTTATAGACCCGTTTCCCACTACATCTAATGCCTCTCTTTCACCTAACAGGAACAGAGGTATGCATATGGGAGATAATCAACTGTTGCCGGTTGCTTATCTTGCACAACGGGGGCGGCAAGCACGACCCTAACACGCTTTCATAAGCTTTCTGTTCACGACAACAGGAATTAAACAGACGCATCTTGTCTCTTATCAAGATTAGGTATAGAATCGACTTGAGAATGGTCCAGGACGGACCGAAACGTCGTCGTCCCTTCACTTTCTAGTGTGTGGTCTGGTCAACATATTTCAGCCACGTTATTGTGACTCCTCGTCTGCAAGATTAGGTATATATATTCGTTCCAGGCCTAGTGTTTATACTGGTAGTTTAAGTTAGTAGGGCTATAAGTTATTCAAAATTAAATGGCCTATAATTAGGGCTAAATCACTATAATTAAGGGTGATAGAGTAGCAGGTAGGACGCCGGTGGGGGTCATCAATTATCCCCCTGATGCCTTAAGGTCTTGTCCACCCACCTACACGCCCAACTACACGCCCACCTACACGCCCACCTGCACACGATAACTCCCCACCCCCCTTCCACCCAAACCCCCTCCACCACCAACCTTTCACTAAACACAACTTACCCCTCCCACCTTCTCCAATGTTCACCTGTTCACCCCTTTCTCTAAACCTTACACCCCCACCCACTCGTTCCTTCACTTACCTGCTCGACTTAGAATCCCTCCCCTTCTCTCTCTCTCTCTCTCTCTCTCTCTCTCTCTCTCTCTCTCTCTCTCTCTCTCTCTCTCTCTCTCTCTCCCATCACCACTACTCACCTTCATGTCTGCACCTACTCCCACGTACACGACTTCACCTTCGCCTACCCGCATGCCCACCTCCTTCTACACCCACCTGAAGCTGCCCCATATATCAATCATATACCCACCTACCTCAGAGAACCCATTTCAGATTCCTCTGCCCAACTGAAGCCCTCTATCCCCCATTTCTGCTCCCATCTATAGTAACGTAACCCCATTCCTACCCATTTGTCCCCAACGTACCCATGTTTTTATGCTGGCTCTAGAGGCGAGGAAGATAATGGAGTCCATTCACACACACACACACACACATATGACGGTTGAGAGGCGGGACCAAAGAGCCAGAGCTCAACCCCCGCAAACACAACTAGGTGAGTACACACACACACACACACACACACACACACACACATTGACTGGGTAGACCAGGATGAATTATTTAACACGGGTGGCACACGCATAAGGGGACACAAGTGGAAGCTGAGTACGCAAATGAACCACAGAGACATTATAAATAACTTTTTTCAGTGTCAGAGTAGTTAGTAAATAGAATGCATTACCAAGTGATGTGGTGGAGGATGACTCCATACAGAACTCTAATATACACACACACCCGTTGTGGCTGAGATCATCCATTGTCCACACAATTGTCCAGATAAATATGTTCTCTCTGGATGTCGTGTCCGGATGTTCTCTCCGGATGTTCTCTCTTTGAACGTCGTGTTCGGATGAAAGTTTCCGATCTCGAATTTGCATTTAAATCACATTTGTTTTTTTCCAGTATATGATATCGTAGGTAGTACCTCTGTACCTACGATATCACATCAATATATGACATCATAGGTAGATATCGTATGAGTACCTAATCAAGGCAGATGATAAGAGAACATTAATATTACGACGGTTTTTAATTTGTAACAATACATTGCCTCTTCTCTTGGAACGACTTGGATCATTCCGTTAAAAAGGCGACGTTGATAAACGAGCCCAAGCCCTGTGAACCCAACCGGAATTTTTCTGAGATCAGTCAGGTAGTGAGGAATGTTTTTTTTTTGCATATAAATATTTTTTGTCACTCGGGTACACTCACACACCTGTTGAGTCCTCTGTATATGGGTCATCGGAGCAGACACGTTTTTCTATATATATTTATGTGATTGAAGGTGTAATGGGACCATTTTTCTGTGATTGAAGGTGTAATGGGGCCATTTTTATGTAATTGAAGGTGTAATGGGGCCATTTTTATGTGATTGAAGGTGTAATGGGCCATGTTTATGTGATTGAAGGTGCAATGAGGCCATTTTTTCTGTGATTGAAGGTGTAATGAGGCCATTTTCATGTGACTGAAGGTGTAATGGGGCAATTTTTATGTGATTGAAGGTGTAATGGGGCAATTTTTATGGGATTGAAGGTGTAATGGGGCCATTTTTATGTGCCTGGAGGTGTAATGGGGCCATTTTTATGTGATTGAAGGTGTAATGGGGCTATTTTTCCCCCATTCCTCCCTCTTCCGCCTGGGTAAATTGGCGTCCTCTCTCACCTCCCCAAGACATGGGGCGAGGGGGGTTACCTTGAGGTTACCTTGAGGTGCTTCCGGGGCTTAGCGTCCCCGCGGCCCGGTCGTCGACCAGGCCGGGTAGACTCCTGGTATATATTTTGTCAACATATCCGGATATATTTCCCGCTTTGATCTTCTCGTGCAGCTGAGACTTCCAGCTGATTACTCCTTCTCCTTCTTTACTCCTCTTTCTTATCCCTCTTCTCTTCCTCCTCCCCCTAGTGACGAGATCGGCAACTGCGTCCAACGGCTGGAGCGGAAAATGAATGGGCACCTCTGTCATTCATTTGCTAGTGAAGCTGAAAAATTAGAAGGCTATGGTCTTACAGGCGCTTGCGCTCGTGTACACACGCACGCAAATGAGCAAATTAAATTATAAGGCAGCAGGGCACAGCAGGGTTAGCAGGCGGGGCCACAGAGCTAGATCTCTCTTACCCCTATAGACACTGATAGATAAGTGTGGACGCATATATTTTTTTCAGTGCCATAGGAGTGCACAGTTGACCTGTAATGGATAATGGTTGTGGTGGAGGCAGACACCTGTGCTACCTGTGTACTAGTGCACATGTGTGTTAAGGAGTACTTGTGCTAAGGAGTACCAGAGTGTGTTAAGAGGAAAGAGGTACTGAACGTGTCCAGTACTCCACAAGACCTTTCACCTCGTTCCTTGGGTCACTCCACTCAGATCCGCGTCGATTACACTTTCTCCTTTTTATTTCTTGTTCTCTCTGTTTCTCCCTGTCTGTCTCTCTCTGTCTCTCCCTGTCTCTCCCTCTCTGTCTCTCTCTGTCTCTCCCTCTCTGTTTCTCTCTGTTTCTCTCTGTAAACACACACACTGTTAACTGTAGTTATGTAAAACCCATATTAGGCAAAAACTAGTCACATCTCACATAGATAAACACATATAATGTATCCTCAGAATACTACTGTATATGTACATAAACCAGCTTTATCCCACAGACATAAATCACATATTCGTAATTCAGCCACATAAACAAACCAGCCAGGTCTAGCAACATATATATATATATATATTATATATATATATATATTATATATATATACATATATATGACAGTGTCAGACCACGGAGGAAAATTGAAAACAGGAATTTCCTTAAGTACTTTCGTATATTAATACATCTTCAGAAGGAGTTTCAATTTTCCTCCGTGGTCTGACACTGTCACATTTTTTAATCACGTGTTAATTTTCGTGATATATACACTCACATTTATATATATATATATTATATATATATATATATATATATATATATATATATATATATATATATATATATATATATATATATATATATATATATATATATATATATTGTACATGCAGTCTCATGCATTGACAGGTTCTCTCTCCTTTACAAGAACTCGGTATTTACAAAAGTCTTGTACTTCGTTCCCTTGGAATGTTGTTTTCAAGCCCCAAGAAGCTAAGGGTGTACACCAGTCCTCGCTCGTCCTTGGCCAGATCCAGTCTACAGTCACACTTTCCCTTTTATCCATTCCTTCCATATCCGTCACACA